TTGCTGCTTCTACTACTGTTGGTTATGTTCATCAACAACTCTTCTGCTCTTTCTGCTGCTTCTTGCAAGGTTTGACGGAGTTCCTGGGAAGTTTCTTCCATGTCATCTTGATGAGCTTGCAATAAGCCACCTCGGAGAGAAGAAATCTTTTGTAAGAAAGATAGCACTGCTACATACACCGTTTGGAAGTGTTGCAAAAAGTAATGCTGAAATTTTTGGATGAGAATAGTTAAAGCAGCACTACTACCCATCTCTCTCTCACTTACACATAACTCCGACACCTCTGCTGCATTTTCTGCAGCTTCTTGCAAAGTTTCATCATACTCAGAGACGACAAGGATAATGTTGCTAAGTTGTGTTTCAATGTCGTCTTCGGCCTTGAGTGGAAAGTCTCTGATTTCAATTTCTAAATCTCTGAGTGCATAGCCATCACCATCACCATCACCACTGGATTTGTTCTGGAGAAAGTCTTGAAAAGAATAAAGGTTTTCAAGGATAGATATGATTAGTGGTCGATCATGGAGAGACAGCCTTACCCTTGGGGTGGGTTGCAGAAACTCAATCTCAATGGTTTGAATCATAGAAGTTAAAGCAGCACAAGCCATCTATCTCAATGGAGAGACAGCCATCACCATCACCATCACCACTGGATTTGTTCTGGAGAAAGTCTTGAAAAGAATAAAGGTTTTCAAGGATAGATATGATTAGTGGTCGATCATGGAGAGACAGCCTTACCCTTGGGGTGGGTTGCAGAAACTCAATCTCAATGGTTTGAATCATAGAAGTTAAAGCAGCACAAGCCATCTATCATCTCAACTCTAATCTTTAATTTGGTATTAAGTTTTGATATTGCACAATGAAAGATAAAATATGCAAGCAAGAGTCTGATCTAAGTTTGCTTTTTGTGGTCATTCACTGAAATGGGTAAGTTTTAAAAGGAGTGTACAAAAATGGGGAACTTTTGAATTTTGGACAAATTTAGGAGAAATTTTATTGGGTTTTGAGTTTCTGATAAAAAAACACAAGCCGCGAAGGATTTCTCAAGTTTTAATTAATGGATTACATTTTTTATTAATGGGTCAGAACTTTGACTTCATTAATCAAAGATCAGACCCGTTTCACGAATTTAGATCCATGAGACGGTCTTACACAAATTTTTACTGACATCCAAAAAACTCCAAATTTATTTTATTACTAGTTTTTTACGCGCATTGCGCGATTGAGATAATGCCCAATGTTTTTTTTTTTTTTTTTAAATAAGTACTTTAAAGTATATCAAGGTAAGATTTTATTGGAATTGTTCACGCATAGATAATTGAATGTTAAATTTGCGTGTTTAAATAGGCAAATCTAAGTTTACAAATGCAAGATAATATAGTCAAGATTGATTATAATTGTCAATAAAATAATTGTATAGGTATGACTGAAATCAAATACGGGACATAAGAGAGAGCAAACAAAAATTAGGGCATAAAATATTAAATATATACTATTATTGAAGAGCTAACTGCTGATTGCCAAACAAGAACATTGCGCGATAGTTTCCCACTTCAATTTATTGTGTGAGTTAAATACTCTAGTTATCAATAAATCCCCGAAGTAGTTAATATGATTGGCTTAATTATATTTTTTTTATTTTTTTAAAACAATTATTATTATTATTATATATATATATATATATATATATATATATATATATATATATATATACATATATATATATATATATATATATATATATATATATATATATATATATATATATATATATATATATATATATATATACCCTTAGGTCATTTTACATGTTAATCTAAACAGCTAATTTTTTCAAATATCTTTTTACCAATCATTGATATAATTCACTGGTCAAATTCGCTAATATAATCCACTAACGCTAACCGCTAACTGCTGATTGTCAAACAAAGACATTGCGAGTTAGTTCTCACTTCAATTTGTTGTGTGATTAAAAAAATTAAAATTAAAATCTGATCAATCTGAACCATTCATTTGATTACAAAACTTGACCGTCATTTTTTCTACCCATTATAGGCCTAACTCTCTTGGGCTCTTATTAGTATAGTAGAAATAATAATTTAGTAGCTACAATAAAAAATAATACATATGCATTTCTTTAATTTAGAATTATGTGTATACAATGTCCTTATTCAAAAAAATAATTATTCATTATCAATAAATTAAATAAGAGAAATAATTTCATTAATTATATTGTCGTTATTTTTTTTCAATGTAAAAATTCTTTACATTCAAATTAATCAATTAATTATATTCACTACATTGTCTATTATCTTTTTTGTGCACTATTTTTTAATTAAATATCAAAGTTATAATACCAAATAATGCTATATATTTATTTACCAAGTATTTTATTAATACCATGAAAAAATTAAAAATTAAAAAAACATAATTAATAAAGCCAGTCATATTAACTACTTGAGAGATTTGTTGACAAAGAGATTATTCAAATCACACAACAAATTGAAGTGAGAACTACATCGCAATGTCCTTGTTTGATAATCAGCAGTTAGCGGTTAACGTTAGCGGATTTGACCAGCGAATTATATTAACGGTTGGTAAAAAGATATTTGAAAAAATTAGCCGTTTCGATTAACATGTAAAATGACCTAAGGGTATACATATATTTCATAATAATAATAATAATAATAATAATAATAATTGTTATAACAAAATTAAAAAAAATATATATATAATTAAGACAATCATATTAACTACTTGGGGGATTTATTGGCAAAAAGAGTATTCAAATCACACAACAAATTGAGGTGGGAAACTATCTCGCAATGTCCTTGTTTCACTACTGGAAATTATCGAATTTCCGACCACCTGAAAGTGATCTTAAATCAAGTTGAAAGCAAAAAGTGGTCAGAAATAGCAACAAGGATTTTTCCGGATACCAAAAGTGGTCGGAACAAGGCTTTCAACTTGATTTAAGATCACTTTCAGGTGGTCGGAAATTTCAGAATTTCCACTAGTGTTTAGCAATCAGTAGTTAGCTCTTCAATATTAGTATATATTTAATATTTTATGCCCTAATTTTTATTTGCTCTCCCTTATTTCCCGTATTTGGTTTCAACCATACGCATACAACTATTTTATTGACAATTATAATTAATCTTCTCCCAATTATAATTAATCTTGACTATATTATCTTGCATTTGTAAACTTAGAATTACCTATTTAAATACACAAATTCAACATTTAATTATCTATGCATGAACAATTCTAATATAATATTGCATTGATATATTTTATAGTACTTAAATATATATATAAAAATATAATTAATAAAGCCAATCATATTAACTACTTGAGGGATTTGTTGACAAAGAGAGTATTAAAATTACATAACAAATTGAAGTGAGAACTACCCCGCAATGTCCTTGTTTGACAATTAGTAGTTAGCGGTTAGCGTTAACGGATTATATCAGCGGATTTGACCAGCGAATTATATCAACGGTTGGTAAAAAGATATTTCAAAAAATTAACTGTTTAGATTAACATGTAAAATGACCTAAAGTAGTTACCTTGATATACTTTATAGTACTTATTTAAAAAAAAAACATTGGGCATTATCTCAATCGCGCAATGCGCGTAAAAAACTAGTAATTTAATAAGAGTAAAATAGAGTACTAATTATGCCAACTTTGATTGGGATGTGGTTCGAACCTAAGACCTTTCTTATTGAAATCAATGAGTAAGTTAACGGTGAACTAACAGAAATTAACGGAAAATATAATATTTAACGGAAAAGTTAACGGATAATCATATTCATTAAGGATAAATTAGGAAATCTTAAGGAAAAATTAAAATCTGACCAATTTCTGAGCCATTCATTTAATTAAAAAAGTTGACCGCCATTTTTTTCTACCATTATAGGTCTAGCTCTCTTGGAACACGTATGGAAATTCCTTAACAAATGGGATATCATCTAACTTAACTTCTTTCTGGTGGGTATCCATTACATAAGTCAAGAAACCGCTACACCCTTTTGCCAATTCTTTCTTAAGCTTTCAATGCAGAAATTACTTTCAATGGCACTTCCGAAACCAACACTCCACTCCTAGGAAAGTGTCCCAACAGTAAAGATAGATTGTCCAGGAATTTGAAATACCACATTCCAACGTGCGCAATCGATGTAGGCATAGTTTCTGGATAGCCAATCCATTCCTAATATCACATCTAAATCCTGCATATCTAGCTGAATTAAATCAATTGACACATCACTCCCATTAATTTGTAGATGACAATCTTGAAACCAAGTATCTGTCACCACCATCTTCCCCACACGATTATTAACATACAAATGATCACTCAACTTCTTAGCTTGCAAATTTAAATCCTTTGCAACTTCTCATAAATAAAATAATGTGAAGAACCTGAATCACACAACACGTAAACATCTACAATTATATTCCGAACAGGCGACACATTTAACAACAGCCCAACTCGACGTTCGACCATATTTAGGAACACCCCTTCTGATCCTTGTAAAGCAATACAAAACAGAGAAAGTATGACCACATTAGCCAAAATGTTTAGGAAACCACATCCAAAACTTGCTCAAAGCCAAAACTTATCATCCCATTGGTTAAAGCCTAATCTTGCAAAAATTCAAACTTAACTTCTTGATCAACTAAGGATTTAAACCTAGGCTCTGATACCACTCTGATCGCGCCCCACTTCTAGGACATGACCCGGCCGTATCGCTACATGAAAACCTATAACAATACGAAGCCTAGCCATACATACCTCTCGGAACCTTCATAACAACACTTGAATACATAATAATTCCTCAACCCAATATGACAAAATATAAACAACTAGTTCTTCCCAAAAACTCATCAAAATCACCCCTATTAAATATTTACAATCAAGAGTAGTATGTCCAAAATGTATCACAAGCACTAAACCAAGCACAATGTGTTACCAAAGATACAAAGGGTCAAAGGAATATCCAAAATAAACAAAAATCCGTGATACGCTCCAAAATTAGGACTAAGTCTCCTAGTTTCAAAAGTCACCTTCGAGACCCCACCACTTGTGCTCGTGCTATTCACATGTCCTTAACTACTCTGAAACATGAGAAAAATACAAATAATGAGCCAATGCCCAGTAAGTAGTACTCCTCTTAACCCCGGATCAAGTAACCTCAATAGAATACAAAAAACTTTTAGAGTAATAAATAGATGCAAAAATCGATCTTTAAACTATATCGAAGTCATAATATACTTCCATCATACTATACACAAGTTCACAAAACTGGAAACTTTAGCTACATGGGCGCCACCATTATTTCATAATACAATACTTTCAAAAGCACAAATCATTCCTTAACATATGACTCATTGACAACCTACAACCACTATTATAACCCATGGCAAAGGCCATTATCGGCATAATGGTTTAGAAGGACTCGATGGTTCGCAATGAGTCAGGCTCGATGATTCAGAATGAGCCGGATGGAACGTTCCAACAAATAATTCAAAAGACTCGACGATTCGGAATGAGTCAAGCTCGACGATTAGGAATGAGCAATTAGGAACGTTCCAAACCGAACAAACAAACAACAAAATGTAGGTTGCCTCATGAGTTTGACCGAACATTCAAAATAGTTCTTATAATCAAATAGCCCAATGTAGCAAAAATCATTTCTTTAAAAATCACATAACAAAGTACATAATTTATTGTACAGAGTTTTTCATGTCACATATTTTCTCAAGATACATAATATTTCCAATTATGGATAATAAATTTATCAAACTAAGAACTATGCAAGGTATAAACCCATCCCAAAATAATAATTTTCTTAGTACATAACTCTTTAAAAAATTCGTGGAATAGTTTATTAAACCAAAATAGTTTCAAAATAGTTGAAGTAGTTTAATTGTAAAGAACTTAAGTTATTATCAAACATGAAGTTAAGGGTTCAAGTCTTACTCTAAACATAGTAAAAATCATTTTACATGTCTAATATGTACATATGCAAAATAACCATACAAATTTCTAAGAGGTAGAATTGAAGCCACGTCTACCTACCTACACAACAACACTCTTGCCAACCCACCATCTCTACACATGATAATAATTTTAGTACGAAATTTGACTTAACTTTCGTTTCCGAACACAGTTCTAACAGAACCAAAAACAATTTCAATCCAGGCTCTAAAATGTATAGCAATTTCAGTCCAAACTTCAGAAATCATAGCTTAGCATTTTCAGACCCAAAAACATATCATAGCCCAAAATACTTTTAACTCATACTAACCCTAAAATGGGTATTCAAAGTAGTAGAGATTTCAAAATAGGTTATATATATGGGTTTTGCAAAATAAGGAGATAAGAGTTAACCACTTACCTGAAACACCCAAATCTTAGGTATTTAGCTCACCCAAATACTCCTTGTCAAATTTCCTAATATTTTCAAACATCAATCTTAGGGCTCAAATGTTAAACCCCACTAAAAAAAGAGTGAAATATGGAGGTCAAACTTACCTAGAATACTCCAATAACTTGAGACCTAAGCTTGAAGAAGATGGAGATCAAAGCTTCGAGATTTTTCTTTTCCTCTATCTCTCTAGTCCACTCCTCTTATCTTCTTTCAAAAGAGATGTTTATCCAAAGACCAAAGTGGTTTCTTAACCTTTAAGGGTAAGGGAGGGCAATTTAGTAATTTTATCCAATGTTAAATTTGGATAAGCTTTGACTTGTTGACCACATTTAATAAACATAGATATAATTTTATTTCTAAGATAGTGGGTATTACATCTTCTTGTTTTAAATAACTATATACTGTATTCCTCAGTCTAAAACGCTTTTGATTATATTTATCTATATATTATGCTATTTAACGCGTATTGATGAGTTATCAGCTTTATTCGTTGACCGGTTGTTATCCCCATGTTTTACAGGTTTTGCTTAGTTGGAGAGCGCGCTAGATGTGGACTCTATTTAGTGTAGCTCCTGTGGACAGACGTTTTGCTTTTGTTGGCCTGTGTGCCTAGACTAGTGGCCTGTGTGCCTAGACTAATGCTACATTTTGATGATTTTGATAGATTTAGCCTGTGCACCCATAATTCTATGGGTGTGGCATAACACCTTTCCTGGTTTATTATAGCTTCCGCTTTTGTTGATTGATGTTTAGTTTGCTTGCCTTTGAATTTTAAGTTTTAAATTGTTGGTAAAAATCGGGGGTGTTACAGTTATTGTGATAAGTAAATGATACTTATCCATATAAAACATCTTCAAGACATTTTTCAAGTAGGCTAATTGGTGTATAAAACTTCTTCAACTAGAAGCTCGATTTTCATATCGAGACAATACTTGGATTTCCAAGTCTTTTATTTCAAAACTTCGTCTTTCGACATGAGCTAATATCACCAAGCTCTCTATGTGTTTCAATAATATTTAAACCATCAATATCGACTGAGATGATAAATAAATAACTCCATTAGCAATTCGTTAACGAACACATAATGGTACATATTATTTGCACATTCCATCTTCGGGAGGAAAATATTCAGTCAATAATATTCAAGTTATACAAAGACTTGGTAGTTTAATGATACACGTTGCGATTTTCACTTTCCTTATTTCAGAAGTGTTCAATCCATCAGGGATTTACAAATAAATATTAGCGTCTAATGACCCATAAGTTTGTGGTCATGACGTTCATCAACTGCATATCTAAATTTATAATCACTGCCAATGATGTTAATTAGTGGAACATAATGCCATATGTTGTGGGAGAGAATATTTGATCAAAATCAATTCAGGGTCTCTGCGTAAACCTTTAAGCTATCAGCCTCGCTTTATATCATACCACCAGATTGTTTGTATTTCTCTTTTGTACAAACACCCATTTGTAACCTACAAGGTTAACATTAAATGGTGTACGTGTTATAAAGAGAATACAAATTTAGCTAGCTGAGATGTACATGCCTTAATTGCTCTTTTATATATTAAAAACAATCGGGGCACTACTGGTGCCTAGCTCTGGATCCAGATTCTCATATATTAAGAGCAATTTTCAAAAGGCTATTCTGTTGTCGACAACTATAACATTTTTCATAAATTTCTCCCATGTATATCAAATAATAGCAATTTCTAATTCAACCAGACTCTAGCAATTTCCAAAATATATTTTTATATGGTCGTTCCGCATCCCCAGTATTATGATTTTGGGTGCACTTATAATTTTACTAGGGTTTTTCGCCTTCTGGATGAATGTCTTCAGGACATACTTCTTTAAGCGATTTCAAGAGTGACAAAAATTTTCTACTAGATTTAGCATTCCTCGGATTCTTGTCTTTTATACCAACATGTCTCCACGCTTCTGGCGTCAAGGAGTATTGGTAAATACATATGGTCCAAGTTGGGGAAGATATATGGGACCTAGTCACTCTTTTTATCAGTATATGTGACACCCCAAAAATCCACATTCAATCCATGGATTAATTGAGTAATTAATCCTATTTTATTTGAGGAATTAATTCCTAAAATCCTGATTTTTAATACTCAAGGACTAGTATTTGACTAGTCAACCTTAAAGTTGTGTTGTACCTTGAGCTTTGAGGGGAGTTCCCTTGTTCCTTACACTTTCTAAAGGTTAGTAAGGGTATTCTTGACTTTTCACCAAGAGTTAGTATTGTAACCTAACCTAGAAGGCTTCTTCATTTCATTCCTTACAATTCTTAGAAATTAGCTCTACCTTCTCTCTAGAAAAGAAGTGTAGCTTATTCTCCAAGCCAGTTGAGACCCTTGTCAAGATTCCAAGATTTGCTCCCAAGATTCAACCTTTCACCTATTTGGGCATCTAGGAGGGTAAGATCTAAGTCGATCTTGTGTTTTTGGTTCCATCTTAGTTGTCTTTTTCTTAAAAGTAGGATCTTTATGATCTTTTGGTTTGATCTTGAAGTGGGTTTGGATAGTAAGCCTTGTAAGGAGCTTGTTGAGGTGTAAAGTGAAGTCTTTTGGTCTACAAGAGGTAACCCATGCTCTACTAAAACCTATTTTGCTTACCTATATGTGATTTCTTGGATTCTACAAGTGCTTTGCTATGAAATGTGAGGGTTTATGCATTTGTCTTGTGATATTGCATATCTAGAGCTTGTGTTTAGGGTTCCTTTGTGCCATTACTTGGCATTTTCCATGATTCAAGTCATTTTGTTGTGTGGGGTGAGATTTGGCATGTTTTGGACTTGAATTTGTGTTTGGAGAAGAAAATTCCCGAAGGGATTTGTTGTGGTACAAGTGTGTACCCGCGGGCGGAACGGCGGGCGGGGCACCACCCGCCGGCCTACCCGCGGGTACATGGCCTTGTGGGATGATGTTCCCGCGGGCGGAACCACTGGTGGGGCACTACCCGTGGGTCCACCCGCGGGTACATGGTTGGTGTTGTGATGGGATTTGTTCCCCGTGATTCGTTTGAATCGGTATTTGGTCTTTTGACTTCCCGATGTTCTTTTGTGGAACTATTTGAGCGTCTTCTTAATGTTTCGTATGTCTAGAACTATATGGTAGGTATCCATGTAGGACTTTGGTGTCTTGAATCGTGCTAAGTGTTCAACATTGTGTTTCGTTGGACCAAGAGGTGTCTTGTGTGTTCCTCGGAACTATCTTGAGTTTCTCCATTGTTAAGCATGCTAGTTTATTGTCTTAATGCTAGCGTGTGTGTGGTTTGTACCTTCCGTTTGGTTGATGATAACTTGTGTTATTCATCGTTGATGTTGATGGGCTGTGACCCGTTCCTTGATTGAGTATGTTTCATACCTTCGTTGTGATCTGTTGTTTGACTCTTGTTGAGTTGTGGTGCGTGTGTGGCGTTACCTGGATTGCACGATTAGTGGTATGGGACACTAGTCACCAAGGTATTGCAGCGGTCCTCGTGGTGGCCGTGGCGTGATTATGGAGCTGTGGCCTTTGTGTAAGGTTCACGTTTTTGGGGATAACAGGTGTTATCCGGGCATGTGTGCCATGTGCGTGTACGGTACCTCGTGTACTATGAATCGGTGGCTTTGTTGGAGGACTGTTGGAGGGGGAACGACGGTTCCCGGGGGAATAAGGTTGGACTGTATGTACAGGGGTCCTGGAGGTAAAGGTTGGAACTAGATATAAGGTTGGGGGTAGCCATAAGGTTGGAACAGGGCATAAGGAAGGCATATCAACTCGTGGCGGGTGATGTCACGAGGGCTTGTGTAGCCGTGGTTGTGTGTTCTCTCTTGTGACGTGTGTAGTCACAAAGGCATGTGATGCCTAGGCATGTGTGCCGGTTGTCGTGTCTTGATCCTTGTGGTGTCGTTATCCGTTGTGGTCTTGGGATGTGTTCCCGTGGTGTTTATTGATGAGTTTTGAGTCTTGAGTTAGTGTTTACTCTTGGTTTTACACTTATATATATGTATTCCGTTTCGAAATGATTTTTGTACATACCCTACCTATGTATGATACTTAACAGGTATTGGTGGGTTACAGCATTATCGCTGACCGGGCGTCGTCCCAATGTTTATCTTTGTATCTTTCAGGTGATGTCTAGACGAGGGCGATGTTAGTGGCCAGTAGTCTAGTATCTTTACCTTTGTTATGTGGCCTGTGTGCCGTTGTAGTGTTAGACTGTTACCTTTTGGGTTAGATGTATACACTTGCAGATTGATCGCCGTAGCGTTTACCGTGTTTGGTAGACGTGACATAACACCCCGTTTGGATTTCTTCTATCCAGTTTTTGTTTTATCTTCCGCTGTGCTAGTTTTGTTGTATGATCTGCATGTGTTAAGGCTTTTTATATAGCATGTTTGGGGGGTGTTACAGTTGGTATCAGAGCCTAGGTTTTGAGCCTAGGAAGGGTTAAGTCTAGACTTTCTAAGTGGTTAAGTGTGTTTTGAGACCTCTAAGCGACCTTAAGAAGCTAAGTATTAGACTTAGGACTCTAGGTTGCGCGGTGAGCTGTGTGTTGTTTTCTGTTCTTTGTTTGTTGCTTCTCTTATCGTGTTGTTGTTGTAGAAGTTGCGATGCCTCCTCGTCCTCGTGCACGCACCCCGGAGACCCCGACCGACGAGCAGCTCGCTCAGAACCTTCATCAGCTGACTCAGACCATGCAAACGCTCAGTGAAGCTCTGTTGAACAACAATCACGCTGTGCCGCCTCCTCCCCCTGCTAGGCACTGTGACGTAGGACGTTTAGTGTCAGGTCATCGGCCGCCAACCTTCGCTGGCGAGGAAGACCCTGTAGTCTTAGAAGAGTGGCTACGGGTGTTTGATAAGATCTTCACCGTGGTGGGCTGCCCCAAAGAAAGGAGAGTAGAACTGGCAACATTCTACTTTTGTCAAGAAGCGGATGTGTTGTTGTAGTTTTGTTGTATGATCTGCATGTGTTAAGGCTTTTTATATAGCATGTTTGGGGGGTGTTACAGTATATATATTGGCAGATTAATTATCTTCTGAACTTCCAGTCCATTTTACTTCTTTTGAACTTCTAGTTCAGTCTACCTAGTACATGGATTTAAATATTGAAGATCTTTTTCATCAATCATCCATAGAATTTCTTGGCATTCAA